CAGTCTTTACATCTTCTGAGAAAGGTCTTCTAATTCTCATTTGACACAAGTACAGAGAGGTTAAAGAAGCTGCCGGCAGCACTCAGGAGGATGTGAATAGTTACAAATGGGATGTGACTGCAGTTGTAGCAACCAGTTTGACGAGGTTCTGAGTTCCCCAAGAAGGTCTTATCTGGGGGCCCCTGCTTTATGTTTCAGGGTCTCTATTTGAGTCCTGGTATGGTATTGTAGGATAAGCACTGGATTGCTAAAACTACAAGGGTGGTAGTTCAAACCCACCAGCTACTCCTTGGAAACCCTATACAGGGGCACTATAAGTCAGAACTAACTGGATGGGACTTCACAACTTGAGTCTGAACCCATTCAAGGGCACTAAACAACAACAGCGTGGTTGGAAATCTAAGACTTCCTCTTCTCTCGGAGCAGTTATTACCAGGAGTCAGGGATCTGTTTATTTTTGGTACGTGTACTTCAGGTAATAAGGAGCTCTGGTAGCGTAGTGGTTATGAATCGGGCTGCGAACCGCAAGGTCAGCAGTTCGAAACTACCAGCTGCTCCGCAGGAGAAAGATGAGGCTTTCTACTCCTGTAAAGATTTATAGCCTCGGAAACCCTGTACAGGGTCACTATGGGTCAGAACTGACTCCAAGGCACTTAACAACAACAACAACTTCAGGCAATAAAGGATGATAAACATTTAAGAAGAGCCTCAAAGTCAATGCTTTTACATACAATAAAAATGGTTTTCATTCATTCATTTAATCAACAAACTTACTGTGAAGAATGAGAAGAGGCCCTAATCACAACTTTGCAGAACACTGAAAGGGAAGGGTCAGGCAGAGGAAGAGAAGCAACAGATCAGAAGAAGCCTGAGAAAGAATGGCCATCCAGACAGGAGAAGGTGAAGACAGGGAAAGCCGACCAAGAGAAGACAGGACTACAGGAAAGCTCATTTATGAGAGGCGGAGGCATAACGTTTCCATTGAAGATTAGCAAGTGGAACAAAGCATTCTCCAACAAATACTACACTGAAAACCACACTGCAGACCCACATTATATTCTTTTCCCTAGATGATTTTGTTCACTTTCAGGAAGAAAACTCAAGGCTGACAGAATTCAGCCTCTGCTCCTCCAAAGCCTCACCTCACTTGGGTGTATGCCCCCACTTTATACATATGAAAACATACACCAATTCAAGTTTCTCCATGTATACTTTAGTGACACGGATGACATGCTTCCAGCTGTGCAGCCATTTCCCCCTTGTTTTCTGAGTTGGTTCTCCGTCACTGACATAACTCACTGCCCCTGAGGTGCCTGTCTAGTCCTCCCAGGTGCTGCACAGTGTGATCCTATTGAGAGCCTTCTTAAAAAAGCAAGACAAGCAAGGCAGACATTTCTCACTAGTCAAGCTAAACGATTGGTTTTAAGATGACTTCATGGGATAGTTCGTTCTGCTTTGTTTAAAGAGCTAGCTCAGGGCAACGGTTTCAGGGGTTCATCCAACTTTCATGGCTCCAGGATGTCTAAAGTTCATGAGAATTTGAATTCCGCAGTCCTTCTGTTTTCGTTTCCCCCCTTTACATCAGGATTCTTCTGTGGAATCTTTGATTCAAAGCTTCCAGTAATGGTGGTTGGGCATTCCCATCCAGTTCTGGTCTTATGGCAAAGGAGGCAGTTGCTAATGGAGACAATCAGCCACACATTTTATATCCTCCTTCTATCCCGACTCTCCCTGCTCTGTTGCTTCAGGTGAATACAGACCAATGGTCCTATCTTAATGCTTTTAAGGCCCTGGACACTATGCATCAAACCAGGAGGTAGAACAGAGGCACTCACATATTATTAGACCAGTTAACTGAGATGTTTCATGAACCCATGGCCCTAAACCTCCCAACCAAGGAACCAGATCCCACAAGGTGTTTGGTTATACATAAACAACCTCAGTAGCTACTCTTTCTTCTTTTGTTGTTGTTGTAAATACATACCACATTTTTGCCAATGCAACTTTTTATATGTGTACAATTTATCAACAGCAATTACAATAATTGGATGAGCAGCCCTACCCTTAATGTGACTTTCTACTACCATTATCCTTTCTCCCCCACCTCCCTTTCTGTCCCTCACCAGCCTCTGCCCTCATTAGCAATAATAATAAACTTTGGTCTCTATACATTTGCCCTTTTTTGTCTTTTTATACAATAATTGCCCTTTTGTGATTGGCTTATTTTGCTCAGTTTAAGAGTCCTGGTGTGGCACTGTAGATCAAGCACTGGACCACAAGGTTGGTTTGAACCACACGGTCAGCGGTTCCAACTCATCAGCCACTCCTTGGAAACCCTAATACAAGGTCACTGATGGCACTTAACAACAACAACAAAGTCTTCAAGTTCTATCCATACTGTACCATGTATCAAAACTTCATTTCTCCTATTGGCTGAACAGTATTCAATTGTATGTAACAACCACATTCTGCTTGTCTGTTCATTTGCTGATGGGCATTTAGGTTGTATCTACCTTTTGGATCTTCTAAGAGTAGAATTGCTGGGTCATATGGTAGTTCTGGAGTCCTGTTGTGGAGCTGTGGGTTAATGAACCAGACTGCAGAGACGTTTGAACTGCAAGGTTGGCGGTTCCAGCTCACCAGCCGCTCCTCAGAAACTCTACACGGGGTCGCTATGGGTGGGAACCGAGTCGATGGCACTTCACAACAACAACAACACGGTAGCTCTATTTTAGCTTTTTTGAGTAACCATCTTACTGTTTTCCATGCTATAGCATTTTGCATTCCACCAGCTAGGCACATGGGATCTAATTACCCGACATCCTTACCAACATTTATTACTTTTTTGTTGTTATTGTTTCTAAGTCATCTTGTGTTGCTGTCGAGTCTGTTCTGACTCATAGCTATCCTATATATAGGGTTTCTGAGGAGCGGCTGGTGGCTTCAACTGCCAACCTTGAGGTTAGCAGTCCAGTGTTTACCCTAATTAGAAGGTGTGAGTCCTTCTATTTTGTTCTCTTTCAACACTGCTTTAGCTATTTGGGGCTGCTTGCCATTTCATATAAGCTGAGGTTCATTTTTCTATTTCTGTAAAGAAGGTTGGATTTTTGGTTGGGATTGCATTGAATTTATAGATCACTTTGGGTAAGGTATAAGCTTTTATGTACAAGTCCCAATTGCTTCTTTGCAATAATGATTCTCCCAATTTATCCTTCAGGAGCCCCATTCCTCTGAAAACCAGCCCATCTCCCATCGTGATTTCAATAAAACAGGTGCTTTAGCAACAACTTCCATGGACCACCAGCTCACTGTCTGGCACTCTTGAATCAGATGCAACTCCAGGCATGCCCAGGACTTAAACTCAAACATCCATTTCTAGCTAGCACACACCTACCAGCAGGAGAGTCAGCCTTCAATTGTTTGTGTTCCACTGCGGAGCCAGGTTTCTCTTCATATGCTTACAAACACCTTGGCATGTTGTCTTATCTCTACTTTGTTGTTCTTTAGTGCCAGCGAGTCAGTTCTGACTCACAGCAACCCTGTATAGGGTTTCTAAGGAGCAGCTGGGGGGTGGGGTTTGAACCACTGACCTTGTGGTCTGCAGTCCAGCGCCACACCAGGACCATGAGCTAGAAATCGAGGGACTAAGATAAGAAGCCCTATTAGAAACACTGGGTCGCTCATATTGTCCAGGACACCCAAAGTACACAATAGAATCTGTTGCTATAAATAGGATATGTTCTAGGATACTTCCAAGATACTTGAGGATATCAAGATGAGGGGCTGTTTTCTACCCTAGACCACACAATATTATTAATTAGTATGAAAATACGCTACTTGGGTAGGTACACCTAAAACCACATGTTCTTTTGCTTGATTAATTTTAACCGTTTCCTGCTGCAATAACCTCTTAGGTAAGACAAGCTAAATATTCTTCAACATGTATTTCCCTTCTCATCCAGTCAAGCCTACAGCTTTACCATAAAATAAGCAAAGATGCTCTCTGTACTGCAATATCATCAAATGCCATGGAAGCAAAGAAAGTTCTAGGCACAGAACAACAACTAAAGGTCACCCATTATTTGCACAGCATTAAGCACTCATAAATCCATTACTTAAGGCCATCTAGAATGAGTAGGTTTGTATTGTGGCTTTCAAGGTTTGTGAATTACACAGTCATCAATAAAGCACAAGGATAGCATACAAAAGAGGTCTTATAACCTTTCCTCTTGTTTTATTTACCAACTGCAAGGTTGAAGGGAGGGAAACCGAGATTTGTTCTTGACAACATTTCTCCAAAGAGAATTAAACCTGAAGTGCTAACCAAAATTATTTCATTGTCTTTTTAAGTAATGGACTCATTAATTCTCATGGATATTGATTAGAGGAGAAAAATGCATTACATCCTAATTAATGAGACTGTCTTAGGAAAAGGGGAAATGTTGCAGAAAGTTCATTTGATTTTATAAATGATTTTATTAGTGAAAATGGTTTTATATGAAGTTTGAGACAATCTTGTAGATTAACACAATTCAATAAAGACCTATGTTTGGCGATGGTATATTATGTTGAAAAAATAATAAGCTACTGTTAAAAAATAGGCAAAGAAAAGATGGCTTTCTCCAGAAAAGAGAAATGTTTGCTTTAATGTACAACTGTTTAAACATTAACAAATAAATACTGAGCTGAAATATTAAAATGAATTGAGGAACTTCATTCTTGGGTGATAGAGATCCTTCCCGGGAAATACATGCATTAACCTGGGTCTTAACCTTCACTCTATGGCTTGGCTCTTTACACAGTGAATAGTCCTTTTTATAACCTTGAGGTTTTTTACCTGGGCTTTGACCTGGATAACAACATCATTGGTTTCTTTATATGTTTAATATAAAAGGTTTGCTAATGTGCTTTCAAACAAATAAACAAACAAACATTAAAACTTTAAAAGAGTATCAGTTGCCATAAATCAACCCAAAATTAGCAACACAAAAGTAACTTACCAGGAGCAATGAACTGTTTAACATTGCTGAATCTGGACTTATCAGCCACACTGGCCACGAAGCAGCCCTTGGGTACAGTCCAGTCATTAGGTTTGCTGTTTTTGTCCTTGTCCTCTGCTGTTTCATACAGCTCGACGTGAGGGGGCTTCTCAGTTAGATTCTTGCTGTAATGACTTAACCCATACTGTGCAATCTGGATTGGATAGAAATAGCCTTGAGGTCCCCATTGTGTAGATAGAGGTACACCTATAATAGAGAGAAACAAAATGAATAATTATGCAAAGCATTTACAAGTCAATTTTGAACACCACACCCCACTATTTTAGCTCTGAGAAATACTTCTTTTTTACATTGTTTTCATAATTACCAAAAATCATAATTACCAAATTAACCAGATACAAAAAAACAAATTTAAGTATTCATTTACTCATTAATTGTGGATGGAGAGCAATGCAATATTATAAAATATTTTCTAAGGACTGACTTTTTATGTATATGGTATTTTTGAACATATCATCAGATGTCATGTTTTGTAATCCTGTTTCATACACTCAAACTTCACACAATTTAGATAAACACAGATAATGTTATCAAAGAGCTTTATTTTAGAAAACATAATTCTGAAATTTCATTGAACATTTGTACTGAACAATCAACATACGCCTAAGTTCTTTTCCCCTTTTAAGTGACGTATTTTAAAATCAAATTCAAGTTGGCTTTCTGATCAACCTTAGGTTTGAAGTGCTAATTCCAAAATGCTTTAATACCCACAAGGAATTCTCACTGCCCCAGGTTAAAAGGCCAAACACTGCAAGAGAGTCCGTAATGGACTACAGACAGGATTGAATAGTTAGGATTCAGGACGCTCAGACTGAACCTGTTTCTCCCTGTAAGTCAGGGCGATGAACAGTCTATTGACAGTGAGCTGTGGGCTTGCTGTATAATTAAGACGTACACTTTCTTATTCTTTAACACAACCAGAGTAGCAAAGCTCAAGTGGAACAGGCAGGTACTAACCTTCAACCCCACTTATGCACTTGACTCTGTCTCGGACTTCCACGTTGTAGCCTTCAAAGGACATAAACACGCCGTCGGGGTGGTAAGGGGCTCTCTGGGCATAGACTTTGGAATAGCTATGAGAGAATTCAAACCGGTCATAGCCATCATACTGAATCACCTTTCCGTACACGTCAAAATATTTCTCTACCCAAGAGAATGGGAGAAAGACTTCATTCCCTTCACGTCTCCCTTGAATTGTATGCTCATCATTTATGAGACAGTCAATCTCCTCATATTTCAGCCCTACCACCTTGCTTCCCCCATTGCCATTGAAGCCCCCCACAACAGGGGGCGCTTTCTGCTGCTCCTGAGGGAAGGGCTCCTCGGCCTGCTGTTTGGCCACGTGGTTCACATAGTTGTTCCTTTCCGATGCTGCTGCTGCTCTTTTCTCGACTCCATCTCTGAATCCACTACTCAAGTGTCGGGGAAACTGGATTGCTTTGTCGCTGGAACACTTATTCCACAGAAGTACTGTGACCAGCGTGAAGAGCGCACAGATGATAATCAAAGTCTTATAGTTGACCCGAGCTGCCAAGCAACGCATATTCACACCATACCTATGGAGGTAAGAGGAAAAATTCATGCAAAGATGGACTGCTGAAATTCCATAGGATACAGTTTTATTTTTTAATGTTGACCAACCATGCTGACCCAATTTTATTAATTGCACATAATTTAATCAGACTCAAAATGAGTTATTCAAATTTTTCAACACAAAGAAAACCTAAGTGTTAAATGTCTAGTTAGTTAGCATAATTCTCTAAACCAAAGCTTCCCAAACCCCTAAGTGTCTCAGTGGAGTCCTGGTGGGGAGCTGTGGCTAAAGCGCTGGACTGCAAGGTCAGTTTGAACTGCAAAGTTGGTAGTTCAAGCTCACCAATCACTTGTTGGGAACCCTATACTATGGGTTGGAACTGACTCAACGGCACTTAACAACAAGTGTCTCAGTAAGTTGTTCATATGATACCTCTAGCCAAAAGAATATGTAATAGTTCCATTTATTAGGTAGTTATGGTTCAAACAACTTAACATATCAATTTAGTAGCTATTTTTCCTTTTTAAGGGGGGGGACCACAAATTGAAATAATTTTTTTTTTTTTATAACATTCTTTAATAATGGGATGTGTTGGGCACTCCATATCCAGTTAAAAAACCAGAACCCAAACCTGTGGCAACTAGCCAATTCCAACCCACGGCAAGCCCATGTGTAATGGAGAACTGTTCCATGTAGTCTGCTTGCCTGTAATATTTATGGGAGCACATTGCCAGCCCTCTCCTCCTTCATGGGGCCTCTGAGTGGGTCTGAATTGTCAAGTTTTAGGTTAGCAGCCTAGCGCAAACCATTTGTGCAGCGTAAGGGGCTTCAAATCCACTGGAATGGCTATAATCAAAGAGAGATAACAGAGAAACTCACAAGTGGTGGCAAGGATGTGGAAAACTGGAACCACTGAATATTGCTGGTGGTGGTGTTTATGTGCCGTGGAGTCGGTTCTGACCCATAGCGACCCTGTACAGGGGTTTCCAAGGCTGTAAATCTTTACAGGCCCAGAAAGCCTCCTCATTCTTCTGCGGAAGAGCTGCTACTTTCGAAATGCTGACCTTGCGGTTCGTAGCCCGATTCGTAAACACTACGCTACCAGAGCTCCTTGAATATTGCTGGTAGGAACGTGAAAAAGGACAACAGCTAAGCAAGAGAGTTTGGTGGTTAACCACACAGTTAAACAGAATTACTGTAGGATCCAGCAATTTCACTTCGCAGTATATACCACAAAGACTTGAAAAGAGGGGTCAACAGATACTCACCACCGTCACTGTGAAATCACAGTGGTCAAAACAGCAAAAGGGCGGAAACAATCGTTCTACTTGACACACTGAGGCTGCTATGAGTTGGAATCTACTCGACGGCAACTGAGGAGTCCATGGCTGGTGCAAATGGCTAATGTGCTTGGCTATTAACCAAAAGTTCGGAGGTTCAAGTCTGCCCAGAGGTGCCTTGGCTTTGAGAAAGGTCTGGTGATCTACTTTCAAATATTCAGCCAATGGAGCACAGTTCTACTCCCACACACATCCACACTGTGAAGGTTGCAATCATTAGGAACAGACTCAACAGCAACTGGTTTAGGGTGCACAGGACTTTGTTTTCTAACATATGATTACATTTTCTTATCTCAAAAATGGAAACTTACAAATGGCAAAGTTGATTTTGTTAAGATATTAAAAGAAAGAGATGTAAATTTTAAGTTAAAAAATGCTCCTAAGTATTTAGCTTTCAAAACTGGTATTCCTTTTGAGGGGATGAGGAATACAAGATAAGACAGAAGATGGATGGAGGGAAAGACATGCACATCGCTGCCAAGCAGTATTAATTACCAAACAGACTGACTCTAATGGGGAATTAGAGAATTTTATTAGAATGTTGCTCAAATTATAGAAAACTGACCATCAAAACTTTCAAAGTTCCGACAGCAGATTGAACTGCCACTCTGATAGGTATAAAATGATGTTACTGCTAAGGGCTGTTGAGTTGGTTCTGACATAGCGACCCTGTATAGGGTTTCCGAGGAGTGGCTGGTGAGCTTGAACCACTGACACTGCGGTTCAAACTGAGCTGCAGCGTCACACCAGAGTCACTTCTAAAGTTAAAACCAGGGCTTTCTGCTGAGTGCAGATCTGCTCCCAACTTAGTTATAGAAGTGTTTACCACATCCATGAACTAGACTAACCTTTCAAGGTTAAAAACAAGCTTTAAAAACCCTTAGAATAAGAACCTCTGCACCTTCCTTAGTGCTGTCCCTATGGATGCATGCCATTAGAAATGTTCCTACTTAATTTTAATCTAGGATTCTTTTTTGTAAACTAAAATTGGTTATATTAAATTTGAGTCCTGGTGTGGTGCTGTGGGTTAATGCACCGGAGTGCAAAGCTGTTTGAACTGCAAGGTCAACAGTTCTACCTCACCAGCTGCTCCTCAGAAACCCTATACAGGGTAGCTATGAGTCAGAATCAACTCAATGGCACTTAACAACAAACCAACAAAACATTCAGCAAGTATCATAGAGACACTATGGGAAACTTCACTGCAGAAATAATTTAAAATTAAGGAAAGGAAAATATAACTTCATTTTTTGTTAGAGGGAGCAAATTTTTTTTCTCCTAAAACTGTTTACAATTCAGAGAATTCTTCTCTGATGCCTTACTTTTAAGGTTCATTTTCTTCTAACAGAATACTTCATCCACTAAAGTGATTCAGTGAACATGAAAAACTGTGGCTATGGCCCTGAATTTAAAATACATGGAGGTATAAGTCAACAAACAACAACTTTCCAACAACCTTTTACAGGATATTATTTAAGAAACTGTTATGGGTTTTTATCTAGTCTCTGAACAGTGTAGCCTGTGGTTTCATCATTATTTCCTCTATTTATGGTCCTTGTAATCCTTGTTATATTAAGATCCACTGAATTAGTTCCAACTTATAGTGACCCTACAGGGTTTCCAAAGAGCAGCTGGTGGGTTCGAACCAGCAATCTTGTGGTTCACAGTCCAGTGCTTATCCTACAGTGCTATAGCGAGACCCTTGTTGTTGTTAAGTTCTGTGGAGTTGGTTCCAACCCATAGAGACTCTTTATAGGGTTTCCAAGGTGGTGAGCTTGAACCACTAACCTTGTGGTTCTAACGACTTTGCAGTCCAGTGCATTAGCCCACAGAGCCACACCAGGGCTCCTACCGAGACCCTTGGTAATGACTAAATGCCCATGGGAGCAGTAGTCATGAAATTAAGCAATGTATTGCAATGGGCAAAACTGCTACCAAAGACCATTTTAAAGTTTTAAAGAACAAAGATGTCTCTTTGAGGACTAAGGTACCTGACCTAAGTCATAGTAATTTTTAGCACCTCATATGCATTTGAAAGCTGAATAGTGAATTGTTGTTGTTATTAGGTGCCATTGAGTCAGTTCTGACCTTATGCACAGGAGAACAAAACACTGCCTGATCCTGGGCCAACCTCACTACTGTTGCCACCCTTGAGTCCATTGATGCTGCTACTTGGGAAGTCCAACTCATTGGGGGTCTTCCTCTTTTTCTCTGACCTGCCACCTTACCAAACATGATATCCTTCTCCAGTGACTGGTACCTCCTGACAATATGTCCAAAGTATGAGAGACAAAATTTGGCCATCTTAGCCTCTAAGGAACACTCTGGCTGCACTTCTTCCAAAATGGATCTATTGGTTCTTTTGGCAGCCCATGGCACTTTCAATATTCTCCTCCAACACCATAACTCAAAGGCATCAATTCTTCTATGGTCTTCCTTATTCACTGTCCAACTTTCACATGCATATGAGGTTACTGAAAATACCATGGCTTGGGTCAGGCGCACCTTAGTCCTCAAGCTCTTAGTCTTTGCTCTTCAACACTTTCAAAAGGTCTTGTGCACCCTAGGATCATCAACGGAGAAGAGTCGAGAACGGGACCCTACCCAGAGAAGCAGTGATGCCTGAGATGTAGGCAGAGACGATGACGTGGAGTGATGGAGCAGCTGGGGACTTTAGATCCAGAGAGGGAGAGTGACTGTGTGCTGAAGACTTGGGAGGGGAAGGAAGTATAGGGGGCAGGCTTGCAGGGTATACCCTTTGGTTGGTTGATGATACATACAGGGGATTGTAACCAGGGCAATGAAATGATATACGATCGAATGAATGTAAAACTAATGTTCTCCCATGTAAACTATCATATAATTCACAATAAAACATTTAAAAAATAATAAAAAAGGTCTTGTGCAGCAGATAGGGAAGACAAAAAAAGAACTGATGCATTTGAATTCTGGTGTTGACATTTGAATTCTGACTGCTGGAAGAATAAACAAATCTGTGTTGGAGAAGTACAGCCAAAAAGCTCCTTAGAAGCAAGGATGGCAAGACATTATCTCATGTACTTTAGACATGTGATCAGGAGGGACAAGCTCCAGCCTCTAGAGAAGGACAGCATGCCTACCAGAGGAGAAGGTCACTGAAAAACAGAAGACCCCTCAATGAGATGGATTCACACAGTGGCTGCAAGACAGGCTCAACTATAGCAATGATCGTGAGGATGCTGCAGGACCAGGCAGGGGTCTGCTCTTCTGTACTGAAGGGTCTTTAGGAGTCAGAATTGATTCAATGGCACCTAACTACAACCACTACTGCTACAGCTAACTACAAGGATTAGTTAAGAGTTGCTCAATAAGGAATCTGGAAGACATCTACCTGACAAACCAATTACAATAGGTATATCTTTGTACCCATTCCAAAGAGGGTCACCCCCAAAGGAATGTTGAAAATGACAACATCACATGCAAGTAAAATGCTGCTGAAGAAAATTCAAAAACATTTGTAACAATACATTGACAGAGAACTGCCAGAAATTCAGAAGAGGAGCTAGGGATATCAATGCTGACATCAGATGGATCTTGGCTGAAAGCAGAGAATACCAGAAAGATGTTCACTTGTGCTTTATTGACTATGTAAAGGCTTTTGACTCTGTGGATCACCACAAACTATGAATAACATTGTGACGAA